TTGAAGGCCTTTAGGCAGGAAGAATTCTCTCTTTATTGGGGGTGGGTCAACCTTTTGTTCCATTCAGACCTTCAGCTGGTTTGATGAGGCCCATCCACATACGGAGGGCAATCTGCTTTACACAGTCTACCAATTTAAATATTAATCTCACCTAAAAATAGCCTCACAGAAACATGCAGAATAATGTTTGCCCCAGTATCTGGCCACCCCATGGTCCTGTTATATTGACACATAAAATTAATCATCATACTATGTTTGATGTTGTCTAAGAGTTTTGAACCATACAGCGGAATTCCCTGGCAATCCAGTGGTTAGGACTCTGTGCTCTCACTGCCGAGGACCTGGGTTCAATCCCTGGTTGGGGAACTAAGATCTCGCAAGCCACACGGCGTGGCCCAAAAAATAAATAAATAAACAAACCATACAGGTCAACTTGTTATCGAGTTCAAGCTCGTACTGCTCACTGCACGACAGGCTGTTAAATCGAGAGATGAGTTGTTGGGGCAAGGAATAGTGACTTTATTTGGAAAGCCAGCAAACTGAGAAGATGGTGGGCTCATGCATCAAAGAACTGTCTTGCCTGAGTTAGAATTCAGGCTTCTTTTATACTAAAAGGGGAGGGAGTAAAGTCAAACATTTCCTGGTTCCAGTCAGCCTCTGGAGGGGATGTGTTAATTTCTTCCTCCCTGTAGTCACTCGCACGTGGGCCTGGTCAGGATGTTTCGTGTGAGCTAAACAGAGGTATTTCAGCTTAATGCTCACTACCTGGGAGGCAGGTTTCCCAGAGATGGGCCATTATGTATAATTTAAGCTTATAGGAAACATCCCTTTAGTGATTAACTTGTAATAGAATGCAAAAGTTTCTTCCTTATTACAAACTGAGACTTTATTCTGGAAAAAGAAATCCAAAAAAGTTGTTGGTGTTGGTAGTCCTCAGATAACTTCAGTAATGCTCTAATGAATTTTCAGATTTAGAGCAGCAGGACTTGCTGGTATGTGCTCTAGGATGAACTAGAATTTCTTCTGAATAAAGGAATGAATTAACATGCTGGCCGGAGTTACTCATTTTGAGTCAGCTGGATTTTAGAGAATATTTGTCTATTAGAATAAATTTTTACTCTCGATCAGGGGTCTGCAAACTAGGGCCCATGGATCAAATCTAGCTTGTCATCCGTTTTTATAAATAAAGATTTATAGCAACACAGGCATACCCATTCTGTTGTCTACTGCTGCCTTTACCACAATGGTGACAGAGTTGGATAGTTTTGATAGAAATCAAATGGCTTGCAAAGGTGAAAATACTTACTGTCTGACCTTCAGAAAACTTCAGAAAAAGTTTTGTTGAGCCATTCTTCTTGGTAATAGTTAATGATTTAAGACTAATTATTGAAAATCTTCCTAGCTTCTGGTAATAACACCATATCATTATCAGTGTTTTCTTTCTTTCTTTTTTTTTTTTACCCCCGTTACTGGTGTGTGTGGGGGGGTGGGGCTGGGGGGGACTGGGGGGGATTATATCCTTTTATCTACAAATGGTTTCCTTGGGCCAAGATTTGTTAACAATAAATGGGGTGGAGGTGTTGTGGCCTAAACATGTAATACTACTTTATACTGCTCAAGATGGTTATATTGTCTAAAAGCAAGAGTTTTTACTTTATTTCAGGGGTCTTCTGCAGCTTTTGTAAAATTGTTAACCAGGAATCTGTTGAATTTACATATCTTGCTCTATAGCTGATTCCTTTCAGAATCAAATGTTGATGTAATCTGCAAATCAATATAAGTAATTTTCAGCATTTTTCCTTGGAAGATGATAGTGTATAGTCATCATCATCATCATCATCCCTAGTGATAGAGTAAATGTTCTGTAATGTATTTGTTCCTTCAGTAAAACATTGTAGTCAGTGTTGACATTTAGACGTAGAGCTCCCTGAAAGCTCCTTTTTCCATATATGTAAATGTACAATCTCTTCCCTAACCATGGAATCATACTATATATGTAGCGATAAAAATGCTTTGCTCCCACACATACTTAATATTTTGGATGTCACTACATGTTAAAAAAAAAAAGGTCAGTAAAATTATTTTTAGCACTTGAATATTATCAACTAACTTACATATTTTGTTTCTAGGCATTTATTTTTATTATTAAAGAAGTACTGTCCTTGTGCTTATATATTTTTATACTTCTCTATCACTTCTTTATAAAAATTCCTAATAGGAGGTCTTATGTTGAAATTTAGGTACATGTTGAAATTTAGATACCTGTTTCCAGATGCCCTAATTTAGAAAGGTTCTATCAGTTTATATACCCACAAAAGTATGTGAACTTTCCCTGCACTTTGTTTGACATTGGTATTTCAAATATTTGCCAGTGGTATTTAATGTTATAGATAATTTAAAAATCTAAAAATAAAAACATTGTTGTCTTTTTCATTTCTCTCATTATTAGTAAGGTTGGACATCTTTTCATATCTTTATTTGCTATTTCCATGTACTACCATATGTTGTTTTCTGAGTATTCCTAAAAAAACTTCTCCAATTAATAGGTTTGCACTTGGGAGAGAAAGTAGTGGGCTGGTTGCCCTTTTTGATAATGGTTTAGATAGGACTTTGAGTTCATTTAAAAGGAATATTACCTGAGGAGCTGTTTAAAGAAAATATCTTTGGTGCAGATTATAGACAAATCAGAGTTAGAGCAGATCTGGTGACAGAATGCCTTCACCTGGTGCTTCAATGTGTGAGTGCTTAGTCAGATGAATTAAGATAAGTCCCATTCTGAGATAGGTCTAGAATCTACAAAGTTTTAAGTGGTTGTTCTGGACCTCAAAGCTGGTAGAAGTGTTTCTTTGGCCACTATTTTTTAAGCTTGAGTTAATTTCAATGTATATGACTTTTAAGGCTGCTTGTATACTTCATAGATAGATCTATAAAACTCAAACTTAATTTATAAATTATATTATAAATAGAAATGAAAGATAATAATAATTTGGCATAATGTTTTATTAGAACTAGAACTTTAATGTTGGGGTTAATATGGTAGAAAATAGCTTTAGGTCTGGTTTTATTATTTTTTAAAAACAATTTAATATTTATTTATTTGGTTGCACCGGGTCTTAGTTGTGGCAGGCAGGCTCCTTAGTTGTGGCATGCTAACTCCTAGTTGCAGCATGCATGTGGCATCTCGTTCCCTGACCAGGGATCAAACCCTGGCCCCCAGCATTGGGAGCGTGGAATCTTAACCACTGCACCACCAGGGAAGTCCCTGGTTTTATTATTAATCTCTTTATATATTTTGATATTAATAAAGAGAATGACTGTTCCTAAGTGTGGTAAAAATGATGTAATTAATTTTGTGGATGTGTTTGTCATTTTGTGATTCTTATGTTTATTAAACTGCTAGAAATCTCTCCTTGCATGCCAATTTCAGTAGCATGTAACATGATAATTCTGTAATGATGTTTTGTTTCACATCATGATGATAAGTGCCCAGTCATTTCTGCTTTACTTAAAAGCAACTGCAATTGCAAACATAAAACCCGAATGGGAGTATTATAATTATGTGATAATGTCTGCTTTAAGGTAGCTATTCACGTCCTCTATAATATGCTTTTTAATTTTCAAGGGTATAATTGAATTGAAGTCTCAAAATTCTTGTACAGAGCTTGTTAACTCCCACAAATAAGTCTACAGGCTTCAATTTTAGAGCCGCTCTGTTAACCGTTGATAAAGACATGTGCTACTGTAGCTTTGTATAAAATTCAAGATTTAAAATTGCTCTTTCAAATTACTATAAACATTTTTCAGTGCTTGTCCTTTATTTCTGCACCTAATTTTTATGAACTTGTAATTAATAGTTCACAGAGTGGCATTGGTCCCTGGGTATGTGTGTGTGTGTGTATATATACACACACACACACATATATATATATATATTTTTTTTTTTTTTTTTT